CAGTATGTGGAAAATAATGTGTTTTTTTAACTTTAAACCGCATAAACACATTTCATTACACCAAATACACAAAATAATGTTCTTTTTAGCAGCATCATATGACCCCTTTAATGAAAAAGGAGTTCAGGACAATGAAACTGAAACTACCTTTGAGAGACACGAAGAACATATCTGAAGCATCCTTCAAAATAAGTCAAATGAAGGAAGGCTGCCTTTCAAGTGGCAGCCAAGAAATGTAGCCCTACTATGGCATTAAAAGTTGGACAAAACAGCGTAAGTGTATTAACACTCGTGCAAAAGTTCGCACATAAATGTAAACCTAAAGAAATGGCAAATTCCAAAATCGAGCACAAAACAATATGATCGTGTACACACATCAACACATTGCAAGGACAAATAACAAAACTGCGAGTCCTGGCAGATACCACACGCGCAAGTAATGTCTGCACATACACGCAGATCTGAACACACTGTTTTGACAGTCAGGGGGCGGCACCCAAACATATGCTTGCGGTGTAACAAATGCTATTGGCTGCTGGCCAAATCCTGTATTGATTGGCTGCTCATCTTCGGACTGGCTGTTGATGAGGACGACGACAGAGAGCGGGATGGGATGATGGCAGACAGTAAAAAGGTAAGTTTTCTTTCTAAATTCATACTTATATCCTATTAGCGTTAAGATTTTTATAATATAAGACATCTAGATCTCTGTATAGGCACCTCAATTCAGATGGCAGCAGTGTGAGTAAACGAGATCATCCCTTCCTCTTTACTACTAGTTCTAGCACCAAATACACCCTGGGTGTGCCTACCTGGATGTTGCATCATCAACGCGAGACCACTGTTCAAGTCATGCTTTAGCAGAGGTGTGTGCAGTTGATCATTTAAGTTAACAGCCTAGTAAAGGTTTATTGTTTCGTTTTTGCGTTTTCCATTTGTAATCTTGAGGCTTTTCACATCACAAGACTATGCTAGGAAGCAACGATTTTCCATCGTACTTGCTTTGTAAAATAACAGTTGTGGAATCTATGCTGGTCAGACAAAGACAGACTGATCATAAAGAGGAATTCAACAAAGATTATTCAGTAAACTTTATTCAGTTATTTTATCACTCATGCTTCCTACTCTTTCTCTGTAGGTATCTCTTGTAAAAGTAGATGAGTTAACATGCCAAGGTGTTAACTGCTTTGAATATCAGACCAAAATCTGGCACATCCTGACAGAGAGCGAGATCTAGTAAAACTGATCTAACAAATTTGATTTATTAACTTTTCACATAATGTGTTACACTGATAAATATATATTTATCATATATTTATTTACATATATTTCTTTGGCCATGGAATTTTACACACTTTAAAAGAATGCTAAAGACTCTAAATGGGACAATATACTAGTCATTCAATGTAACAGATTTTTCAAGTTTAATGCCCTTTTACTGAAGAACTTCTAGCACTGCCACAAACTGGTATTAATCCAATCTCAGAACTATGCAAAAAACATATCTAGCTGTACTACATGTGTACGCCTTCATATTTGTCAATCCAAAATACAGCGGCTAGAGTCCTCTAAGCTACTACTAAATATATTGTAGAAACTTAATTTTCTGTAAAGCTGCTTTGCAACGATTTCTATCTTAAAAAGCACTATACAAATAAACTTGAATTGAATTGAATATTTCATGTTACAGGCATATTACAGCTAATCGTGGTCAAGTCATTTCATGTACATTTTATTCCCAAAGTTTTCATAAAGCATTAAATTAATAAAACTTATACAGCAACCGTAAAAACCGACATGTTTTGAATGCTTTAATTCTGCAATAAAACCAAAACAATAACAAGAATGTTTAACGATGCATAACAAGACTTTATGCCTCAAACATGTACAAAGTCAGTAGGAAACTATTCTAAAAATAAATGTACTTATAATGCATGATTTCAAAAATCTGTTGAAACTGTCAAAATGGATGGGTTGCAACATGACTATTTTGAAAGAGTTACAGTTGAAACTTCTTGATTCATATTTCCTCATTCTTGTGGTAAGGGATTAAGGAGGAATAGTCACGGGTTGTCTCAGCAATTATTTGTACATCATCGGCCACACAATTCTGAAATAAAAAGTATCTGCAGCATAAAACAAACTTAAATGGTACATGGTCTTCAATGTGTGCATATTTTCACATAAATCATCATAAGTTGAATGCGTACAAATAATTGCTGAGACAAACCGTGACTATTCCTCCTTCATCCCTTACCACAAGTATGAGGAAATATGAATCAAGAAGTTTCAACTGTAACTCTTTCAAAATAGTCATGTTGCAACCCATCCATTTTGACAGTTTCAACAGATTTTTGAAATCATGCATTATAAGTACATTTATTTTTAGAATAGTTTCCTACTGACTTTGTACATGTTTGAGGCATAAAGTCTTGTTATGCATCGTTAAACGTTCTTGTTATTGTTTTGGTTTTATTGCAGAATTAAAGCATTCAAAACATGTGTCACATATATGGTCGGTTTTTGTTTTGTTTTCCCTGTGTTCCTGCCTCCTGTTTCTTTATGCCCATATTTGGTAGTTCCTGTTTCCTGTTTTATTAAGTTCCATTTGTCTCAGCTGTGTTCTATTAATTATCCTTGATTACTCCTCACCTGTTTCTGTTCTCCCTGATTACGTTCCATTTGTTTATAAACCCTGTGTTTTCCTCAGTTCCCTTGTCTTGGCTAACGTTGTTTAAGTGGTTGTGTTCTCCTGATTTTCCTAAGTGGATTTATTAAAAGACTCTGTTTGTTTGATATCTGCCTCCTTCGTGCTTCTCGCCCTAGCAACTGTGACAACATGTCAGTTTTTACGGTTGCTGTATAAGTTTTATTAATTTAATGTTTTATGAAAACTTTGGGAATAAAATGTACATGAAATGACTTGACCACGATTAGCTGTAATATGCCTGTAACATGAAATATATGAATTGACAAATATAAAGGAGTACAAATGTAGTACAGCTAGATATGTTTTTTGCATAGTTCTGAGATTGGATTAATACCAGTTTGTAGCAGTGCTAGAAGTTCTTCAGTAAAAGGGCATTAAACTTGAAAAATCTGTTGCATTGAATGACTAGTATATTGTCCCATTTAGAGTCTTTATCTGTTCTCTTCAGTCTGTCTTTGTCTGACCAGCATAGATTCCACAACTGTTATTTTACAAAGCAAGTACAATGGAAAATTGTTGCTTCCTAACATATTGTTGTGATGTGAAAAGCCTCAAGATTACAAAAGTAAAACACAAAAACAAAACAATAAACCTTTACTAGGCTGTTAACTTAAATGATCAACTGCACACACCTCTGCTAAAGCATGACTTGAACAGTGGTCTCGCGTTGATGATGCAACATCCAGGTAGGCACACCCAGGGCGTATTTTGTGCTAGAACTAGTAGTAAAGAGGAAGGGATGATCTCGTTTACTCGCACTGCTGCCATCTGAACTGAGGTGCCTATACAGAGATCTAGATGTCTTACATTATAAAAATCTTAAGTATGAATTTAGAAAGAAAACGTACCCCTTTACTGTCTGCCATCATCCCATCCCGCTCTCTGTCGTCGTCCTCATCAACAGCCAGTCCAAAGACGAGCAGCCAATCAATATAGGATTTGGCCAGCAGCCAATAGCATTTGTTAACACAGCAAGCATGTTTGGGCGCCGCCCCCTGACTGTCAAAACAGTGTGTTCAGATCTGCGTGCATGTGCAGACATTACTTGCGCGTGTGGGATCTGCCAGGACTCGCAGTTTTGTTATTCGTCCTCGCAACGTGTTGATGTGTGTACACAATCGTTTTTTTGTTTGTTTTTTTTGTGCTCGAGTTTGGAATTTGCCATTTCTTAAGGTTTACATTTTATGTGCGAGCTTTGTCACTGTGCACACAGTACTGTAATTCACTTGTGTGCTGTGTTAATACATTTACGCTGTTTTGTCCAACTTTTAACACCATACCCTACTAGGACACAGCTTTCGAAGAACTGTAATTTAAACAAGGTGCTTACATATAAACACACTAACTTGCTGTTAAGCACATTTGACTAAGTGCATTACAACCAAACTCCCTGGGCAAGTGAGTTTCTTAAAGTGACAGTTTATATTACAACATTTTCACACTTGCGTCCTAACACCATTGAATAAAATTGAATGGTTTCATTCATAGTTGCCAAGTCCACTTATAATACACAACTTTGGGCTTCTTTTTTTGTTAAGTTGCGTGAAAAAATCCCAGGCTGCCAGGTTTTTTGGGCTTATTTAAAAAAAAAAAAAAAAGGTTGCTTGTTAGGAAAATCTGACAAGCAACTTCAAAAACAAGTAGGCCTATACCAATACTAACAGTATATATGTTTGGTTTGAATAGACTTTATTAGGCTATAAATATGTGGCAATGTTACAGCTCCCCCTTAAAGCTCTTGTCTTTTTCTCCTTTTCCATCTCTCCAATCCTATTCTGCTCACATGTTGATTGGAGATGAGTAGATAGTGCGTACCTTTTCGCTTTTTTGCAGTTTGCTGATTTTTGTAAAATAACTTCTGTTTTTGCTTTTCAAATAAAAGAGTGGTTTCAGTTTAATATGTTGCAGGCTCATTTATTGGTAATAAATAACTGATCATAAATACTATTTATGATAATAATTAATCAAATAATATTGGGCTTGTTTTTTTTTTGTAGCTGCGGTTGCTTATTTGTCTTGTGAGAGTTGGCAACAGTGGTTTCATTGTACAGGGTTACATCAGTTTTTGTAAGCCGTCTTGGTAATGTTTTACTCTAGTCTGATTGAAATAATATTCAAGAAGAAATACAAGCAAACTTAGCTAAGCATATTAAGTCAAAAGCCCCCAAAATGTAAAATAAATACTGTACGCTTATGGGACATTTAATGTGGCTTTACAATGTAGTAGAATCAATATACAATGTTATCTAACAAATGGTTAATTTACATTACTTCAGAAAGCTTTTTGAATCAGCTGTAAATGTGTGTAATTCTTCGGTGTGTAATATTTGATCAACAGTCAGTTTGTTATAGCCTACTCAACTTTGGCTAAAATGAATGCTGTATGAATAAACGCAAAAATAAATGAAATCTGAAGGAGTTATATTTACCCCAATGTTAAGTGTCCTGGTTGGAACAGTGAAGTAATATGAACTCAAAGTTTGGTATCTTCGTTTTCTTCTTCTCCTTTTATGGGATGGCTGGGTATGTAGAAAAGAAAGAATTCAGAAAAGTTGCCAGATGTTTTCCGATATCACACGTTTCAGCACTCTAGAGTGTGGGTCAAAATTGTGGATTTATCTTGACAAACTTTGTCATTTTAACTTTCATCTACTGTAAATGGTGAATATACTATGAGAGAAATGTTTCTGCAAGAAGGCAAAGAAATCAAGCAAAGTAAGTTCCTGATGTATACAGGATGTGTGCGTGCATTTTGTGGAACTGAAAGACCTTACTACGTATTTGGGAAAAAAGTCATTCTAATTAAATTGTACTTATAATTTTAACATTTTGCCTATAAGTAATATAGCCATTTCGTAAATGAGTTCTGCAGATTGATACAAAAAAATATAAATTATTATTATTATTGTTAATAATAATAATAATAATAATAATGCGATATATAAATTTGTGTGTTTCCTGAATCCGGACAGATTATCTAGATTCAAAAATTAATGTAGAAAGATTATCTGGAGGGGAAAAAAAAAAACTTTATGCTTTCACTTTTCCCTATGACTGTGCCCTCATTATTCCTTAATCTCTTCTTGTTCTGGCTTTTACTGTTTTGAACAATGACTGAAATCTTGTATTACTGTCGCTTGTTGTACTCCTCAACTGTAAGTCACTTTGGATAAAATCGTCTGCAAAATGAATAAATGTAAATGTAAATCTGCTGTTACCCTGAGGCCAAAAGAAACAAACAAATAAACAAGTCCCTGAAGCTAGCTAGAAACAAGCAGTGTTGACTGGACAAGATAGCACTGATAGCAGAACATTGTAACTAATCTATTTTTATTGGTGAAGCAAAAATAAACCAAATATCTGATCATATAATGTCTGTTATTTTATTTTTTACATTTCCTTTTAAAGAATGACTTACTGTTATATGTGATTTATATTGTTGTGTTGCATCTCTGTTGTATAATTCCGTTATTTTTCACCAAGGCAGAAGTTTCTTTTCCTGAGTTGGGGATTTATGCCCAAACATGGCAACAGAGCTGAAAGTTGGTTGGTGAAAAGCAGCCATCTTGTGAAAAAAAAAAAAAAATTACATTACAACCACGATTTCCTCAGGAAATGGCAATGTGAAGCACAAATGGCAATGAAACTGCCTCCACATCTCTTTAACTCAGCCTTGTCTTTATTTCTCAGAATATTAGTATCAAAATTAGACTATTTCAGAATGCAGCAGGTTATAGAAATATCATGTCTGAGCAAATGAGGAGTGTTGTGTTCCCCATTTACTTCTATCCACAAAGATTGCACACAATGGAACAGTGTATAGTGTTACTCTGTGTTGTCCTTTTATCTTACCTTTAACCAGGGCTCTCAAATTATATCAAAAGTTTGGGGTGAGATTACATCTGTTAGGGGAGGAGTCACTCAAACATTTGCAGCAGCGGCCCCTCGGCCCCAACCAATTCTCTCAAGTTTTTGCTAGCAGTTACCTATTGTATGAACCTATTGTTCATAATTGACCAGCACAAATAGAATAACAATAACAGTTGGTAAATCTGATAAAAGACAGAAAAAAACATCCAAATAAAATATATTTTTATATATTTCAAAAAGACAAATGTATCAAAAATAAAAAGAAATTTGGCCCCAAATGAGCCAACTGAACATACTGTACACAAATATAGTAGGATTGCAGAACTTGTTCCAGAGCGTGTGTGTGTGTGAGTGAGAGAGAGAGAGAGAATAAAAAATTATTTTTATTTTTGATACATTTGCATTTTTTAAATATATAAAACAATTTATTTTATTTGGATGAATTTGTCTGTCTTTTATCAGATTTACCAATTGTTATAACATCTCTAGTCCTTTCCTTAATTTCAGATAGCCAAAGCTAAGTTAAAGCTTCTGGTTGCAAAGCAGTTTTTGAATGCACAGATTTGGCATTCAAATCGCGTCGGGAACTGACTAGCAAAATAGCTACAAAAGTAAAAGCAAAGAAGTTTGTATTCAAAGTCAAAAAGCAAACACACTAGAATATTTATGTTAAAAAAAAAAAAAGAACCTCATATGTGTGTATCTTCTAAATTCTGTTGATGCTTGTATTACTGCTCTAACATAACACTTCATTTCAGTTTCAACTAACTAGAAATTAACCTCTCTTCTGCTTAGTAGTGATCGTCTTGTTCACTTCCACTTGATTTGTGTATATAGTTCATATTTAAGGAAACAATGCAATACATATTATATAATTAATATTAATATGACAGTATCTGTAGTCAATATTGACTAAAGAAATGATAAGCAATGATGTTCATTTACTGAAGTGGAATTCAGGAACTGTGAATAAATTAATGAACAAACTGCTGCAAAATAATAACAATAATAATCACGGCTATAATAACATCCTCAAGAACCAAAAAAGAGATCAAGTTTGATTAATATGTACATACAGTCAAAAGTTTGGACACATTACTATTTTTAATATTTTTTAAAGAAGTCTCTTATGCTTATCAGGCCTGCATTTATTTGATCAAAAAATTTTTTGACTGGAGTAATGATGCTGAAAATTCAGCTTTGATCACAGAAATAGTTTCTATTTTAAAGTATAGTAAAATAGAAAACATTATTATTTCACAATATTAATATTTTTTCTGTATTTTTGATCAAATAAATGCAGCCTTGATGAGCATAAGAGACTT